GGGAGGGATGGAGAGATAGAGAGATGGGGGGAGGGATGAAGGGAGGGATAGAGAGAAGAAGGGATGGAGGGAGGGAGGGAGGGATGAAGGGATGGAGGAAAAGAGGGATGGAGGGAGGGAGGAAAGGACAGAGAGATGAATGGATGGATGGAGGGAGGGAGGAATTGATGGATGGATGGATGGATGGATGGATGGATGGATAAAGGGAGGGTGGAGAGAGAGGGATGGAAAGAAGGAGCGAGGGACAGAGGCATGGATGGATGGATGGATGGAGCAAGGGATGGAGGAATGGAAGGAGAAAGGGATGGAGGGTGGGACAGATGGAGGGATGAAGGGAGAGAGGGACGCAGAGATACCAGGAGAGAGGGTTGGAGGGATGGAGGGATGGAGGTATAGACAGATGGAGGGACAGACGGATGGAGGCATGTAGGGGGAGAGGGATGCAGGAATGTAAGGAGAGGGGAAGAGAAGGATAGAGGGATGGATGGATGGATGGATGGATGGATGGATGGATGGATGGATGGATGGATGGATGGATGGGTGGATGGAGAGAGGGACAGAGGGATGGCAGGATGGAAAGATGGATGGAGGGATGGATGAAGGGAGGGACAGAGAGATGGCAGGATGGAAGGATGGAGAGATGGATGGAGGGATGGATGAAGGGAGGGACAGAGAGATGGCAGGATGGAAAGATGGAGAGATGGATGGAGGGATTGATGAGGGGATGGATGGAGCGATGCTGGGGCAGTAGGACACGGGACAGCAGGATGCAGGGCCAGGGGACAGCAGGGACAAGGGCCCACCCCACATCCCACCCCACCGCAGGGCACAGAGGACCCGGCCAAGGAGGACGAGCCGGCTGGGGCAGAGCGACAGGCACGGGGCTCATCCCGGACCCCCTGGCAGCAGCCCGTGCCCTTCATCCTCTGCACCTTCCAGCGTGAGCCCCAGGGGACACGGGGGGACACTGGGACATACTGGGGGGGTGCCCAGGCCCCCCTGCCAAGCCCCTGCCTCTCCCACAGGACCCAACTTCTTCCAGCTCCGCTGCTACGTCTTCCAAGCGCTGGAGCTGGCACCCCGTGGCACCAAGACCACCGCAGGTGGGACCCCCCCCTCCCAGCCCCCACCCCGGTGGGCACCCCAGGGTGCTGATGGTGTCCCTGTCACCCCAGACCCCGTCGCCCACGTCTCCTTCCTGCACGTCAGCCAGAGCACCCGGGCTCTCCCTGGCACCCTGGACCCCCTCTGGGACCAGACGCTGCTTTTTCACCGGGTGCTGCTCTACGGGGACCCCCGGGGGGTCCAGGAGGAGCCCCCCGTGGTGGTGGTGGAGGTCTTCGACCAGGACAGAGGGGTACGGCACCCATGGGTGGTGGTGGTGGGGGGACACCCAGGGGTGAGGGGAGCACTCACCCCCAAGCAATGCCTTGCAGGGTGCCGGTGGTTTCCTGGGGAGGACCATCTGCACCCCAGATGTTTGGCTGGATGTGGGGCGCCGGCGGCCCCCCCGGCTTTGGCGGTACCCACTTAGGGGGCCGGGGGGGCCGGCCGGGGAGCTGCTGGCTGCTTTTGAGCTGCTGCACGACGCCGAGGGGAGGGGCTGGCGGGGAGGGTGGTGTGAGGAGCACCCAGGTGGTGGGGTCCCATTGTCATCGTTGTCCCCAAGCAATGCCTTGCAGGGTGCCGGTGGTTTCCTGGGGAGGACCATCTGCACCCCAGATGTTTGGCTGGATGTGGGGCGCCGGCGGCCCCCCCGGCTTTGGCGGTACCCACTTAGGGGGCCGGGGGGGCCGGCCGGGGAGCTGCTGGCTGCTTTTGAGCTGCTGCACGACGCCGAGGTGAGGGGCTGGTGGGGAGGGTGGGGTGAGGAGCACCAAGGGGGTGGGGTCCCATTGTCATCGTTGTCCCCCCCCACCACCCGGCAGGATGGGTCCCTGGCCCAGATCAGCACCCCCCCATGGAGGGAGGGGGTCTTCAGCATCCCCCTGGGTATCCGGCCACTCCTGCGGCTGGTGGCACTGGAGGTGAGACTTGGGAGGGGACAGGGAGGGGACAAGGAAGGGAACAGGCTGAGGACAAGGGGCAGGGATGAAGAAAGGGATGGGATAGGGACAAGGACAGGGAGAGGGATGGGGACAAGGACATGGATTGGAATGGGGATGATGAGAGGATGGACAAGGTCTGGGATGGAGAATGGGATGGGAACAGGATGGGGAGAGTGATGGGATGGGGACAGGGATGAAGGTGGGATGGGGAACAGGATGGGGACAAGGGTGGGACAGTGGTGGGATGGGGACATGGCTGGGGACAAGGACATGGATTGGAAAGGGGATGATGAGAGGATGGACAAGGTCTGGGATGGGGACAGGAATGAAGTTGGGATGAGAACAGGATGGGAACAGGATGGGGACGGTGATGGGATGGGGACAGGAATGAAGGTGGGATGAGAACAGGAACAGGGAGGGGACAAGGAAGGGAACAGGCTGAGGACAAGGGGCAGGGATGAAGAAAGGGATGGGATAGGGACAAGGACAGGGAGAGGGATGGGGACAAGGACATGGATTGGAATGGGGATGATGACAGGATGGACAAAGTCTGGGATGGGGAATGGGATGGGAACAGGAATGAAAGTGTGATGGGAACAGGAGGTGGACAGGGATGGGACAGTGGGGGGATGGGGACATGGCTGGGAACAAGGACATGGATTGGAACAGGGAAGATGAGAAGATGGACAAGGTCTGGGAGGGGGACAGGAATGAAGTTGGGATGAGAACACGGTGGGAACAGGATGGGGACAGGGATGGGACAGTGGGGGGATGGGGACATGGCTGGGAACAAGGACATGGATTGGAACAGGGAAGATGAGAAGATGGACAAGGTCTGGGATGGGGAATGGGATGGGGTCAGTGATGGGACAGGGACAGGGATGAAGGTGGGATGAGAACAGGATGGGGACAGGGATGGGACAGTGGTGGGATGGGGACATGGCTGGGGACCAGGACATGGATTGGAAAGGGGATGATGAGAGGATGGCCAAGGTCTGGGATGGAGAATGGGATGGGAACAGGATGGAGACAGTGATGGGACGGGGACAGGGATGAAGGTGGGATGGGGAACAGAATGGGGACAAGGATGGGACAATGGTGGGATGGGGACATGGCTGGGGACAAGGACATGGATTGGAATGGGGATGATGACAGGATGGACAAAGTCTGGGATGGGGAATGGGATGGGAACAGGATGGGGACAGTGATGGGATGGGGACAGGGATGAAGGTGGGATGGGGAACAGGATGGGGACAGGGATGGGACAGTGGTGGGATGGGACGTGGACATGGATTGGAACGGGGATGAGGATGGACAAGGTCTGGGATGGGGAATGGGATGGGAACAGGATGGGGAGAGTGATGGGATGGGGACAGGGATGAAGGTGGGATGGGGAACAGGATGGGGACAGGGATGGGACAGTGGTGGGATGGGGCCATGGCTGGGAACAAGGACATCGATTGGAAAGGGGATGATGACAGGATGGACAAGGTCTGGGATGGAGAATGGGATGGGAACAGGATGGGGAGAGTGATGGGATGGGGACAGGGATGAAGGTGGGATGGGGAACAGGATGGGGACAGGGATGGGACAGTGGTGGGATGGGGCCATGGCTGGGAACAAGGACATCGATTGGAAAGGGGATGATGACAGGATGGACAAGGTCTGGGATGGAGAATGGGATGGGAACAGGATGGGGAGAGTGATGGGATGGGGACAGGGATGAAGGTGGGATGGGGAACAGGATGGGGACAGGGATGGGACAGTGGTGGGATGGGGCCATGGCTGGGAACAAGGACATCGATTGGAAAGGGGATGATGACAGGATGGACAAGGTCTGGGATGGAGAATGGGATGGGAACAGGATGGGGAGAGTGATGGGATGGGGACAGGGATGAAGGTGGGATGGGGAACAGGATGGGGACAGGGATGGGACAGTGGTGGGATGGGGCCATGGCTGGGAACAAGGACATCGATTGGAAAGGGGATGATGACAGGATGGACAAGGTCTGGGATGGGGAATGGGATGGGAACAGGATGGAGACAGTAATGAGATGGGGACAGGAATGAAGGTGGGATGGGGAACAGGATGGGGACAAGGATGGGACAGTGGTGGGATGGGGGACAAGGTCTGAGATGGAGACTGGGTGGAGAACGGGCTGGGGACAGGGATAGGGACAGTGTTAAAGGGATGGGGACAAGGATGAAGAAGGGGATGAAGAAGGGGATGAAGAAGGGGATGAAGAAGGGGACAAGATGGGGACAGGAGCAAGGATGGGGACAAGCACCTTCGGTGTCCCACCAGGCACCCAGCCCACTGGAGGTGACTCCTGGGCACCTCGAGGCGGGTGGGTGACAATTGCTGAGTGTCCCCCCCCAGGTGCTGGCGTGGGGGCTGCGGGGGCTGCGGGGGGGCGTGCGGGCGCCCAGCCTGGAGGTGCAGTGTGGGGGCCAGACCCTGCGGACCCCCCCCATCGCCGACCTCGCCACCAACCCCAATTTCCCCATCAACGCCTTCCTGCTGACGCTGG